AGCGTTTTCAGTTGCCACCAAAATCATTTTGTGATATCAAAAAATGATATATCAATATAAGAGAGAAAAGATAACAGATTTCCAAGATTTGGATATGGTCATGAGACAGAAACAAAAAAACAAAACAAAACAACCAACCAAAAAAATACACAAACAAAAAACCCAACCCCCCCGAAAAACCCAAATCACCCAAAACTGGCAAAAAACCCCCAAAAAACACAGTCTTGTTTCTTGATATATTTGTTTCTAAAATACATTCTATTTTGTGAATTTGCTACACTCCTTTTTTTTTTATCTAGCAGATGAGAAGACCAAAAGCTTGCTTTCTCCAGACTGCTGAAGAAGACCATCTGGTAAATAAACTTCACAGGAAAAAAGATGCTTTCAATATGTGATTTTTCTGACAAACTGCATTTCTCTACCTCTTTTCTGCTTTGGCACTAGGCTTCACTGATTAACAGGTGTGTTAATAGGTCTCTGTCAAGGGTGCTAGATACCCTCCCCATCAAGCCAAATTTATGAATGATTTTTTGTCAAAGATGGAAAACTCCTCATCACACATCAGCTTTTCAAAATTTGCCTTCCTCTAAATTACAGACATGCAGGTGAAATTGTACAGCTGATGCTGCATACATCTTCCTTGAACAAAAAATAGATTCTACAGCATAATAAAGGCAATTAGTAGTCTGAGCAACACTAATACATGGTCACCTTTATAATCTTTTCTGAAAGTGTTTGGTTCACAAGGATGGTGTGCCCAGCTCTTGAGTTTCAGAAAGATGACAAATTCCCTATTTGTAGAATATATTTTAAGTTACATATTTTTAAAGAGGACAAGTATATTACTTTTCACACAATCTTCTATGTTCTACATTACAACCTAGAAACATTTCCTTTTTCCTTATTTACCTCTAATTATTTACTGCAGACTCTCATTTCTCTCACTTCTTTATTCTGATATGCAGAGATCTATTGTAACTTTTCTAGTCTGATTTTCGTAACACAGAAATCAAACCATGATATTGTCTTTGAGACAGAGATCTATATATGCTTTGAAGTCCTTTAGTCTGATTTACTGCAGCTCAGTCTATGTGGGGAAAAGGATAGCAAGAATTTTTTTTCTTCCTCTGTGGCTTTGACAATGGACTACAGAAAAATCATGATTTTCACAAACTTGGTTCACAAGCCACATTGACAGACAAGGGAAAGAACAGCCTGCATGGGATTTTGGAATTTATATTGGCAAATAAATACTAAATAAATACTTATTTATATAATATCTAGGACTTGTTTGTACTTTCAGAGAATTTCCAAAGGTACATGGAAGGTGGGCATGTACTACATACAAAATGTAGCCATATATGTGAAAAATCCAAGTGCTTTCACCTAGAAGTGAACCTATCAGCAGTTTTCTAAGACTGCTCCTGTTTCACTTGCACATCTGTACACAAAGATCCAGGGAAATCAAACACTGCAAGGAAGCCTAAGTCAACTTTGTATCAGAAAACCATGTTAGCTCTGCATTTACAGCCTTCCACCTGAATGGGGTCTCTCATTCCCTGCACAAGCAAAACTACCACACAGCTGATTACGACAAAGACAGAAGAATACAGAAATCATGAAAATGGTGAAAGACAGATGTTCTGAGACTTATCATTAAACCCTTCCATTAAAATGAAGAGGCAGAGAGAAACTCTGGTATTCTTATTTACCATAAAGTGGTAACTTGTAAAAAGCATTGACTTTGATGACTACTAGTTTTTAGTACACACTGTTTCTTTTTGTCCTCAACACCAGCAAAATACCGATTTTTAACAGATACTCAAACATAAATATGATCACAAGTCTTTGGTGGGTAATGGTAGCAAGTGAGCTAAGGTGAATTTACCATATGGCTTCACAATATAACCTGTAGATGTCACTTTCACATGTAAAGGGTCTATTACTTCTGTACATGTCTAGGCAGGGGTAAAAAGTAACTTCTTTGTCATCTGTCACTGCTATCACAAAATAGGAGAACTTGGTTCTATAAAGCCTCACCTTTTCAAAGGAGGGCTTAGAATGGGCTCATCTCTCTGACTGAAGACAGATAGCTTCAACCATCTTTTTAATATTTTGAATATTAAAAAGTAAAGAACAGCATCAAACACAGCTGAATCTTCAAGATTAACACCGGTACACAGAATTCGATCACTTTGCATATATATTAGGAAAACAGCCTGGCTGTTTTCAGTCCCACATCCTGCAAAGAATAACAGCATCTATGAAACTGAGAAACTGTGGACAACTATTTTGCCTTGCTGTTATTCAATTCTCCCTGAAGTAATTCCACATGGTAATATTCACCTGGAGACTAAAACCATAGAAGCAAAAGTTTCTTTGAAAAGAGAAGTATGGAGCTTCCACACTGCTGTAGTTGTGACATAAAAACAAAAAAACATGCCAAGGAAGTTAAGAATATTGTTATTCAATGCACTATTTCTGCTTCAGATGCCTAAAAGGGAAGTTTCAGTTTGAAAGAAAACGTGTTTTTGTTTCTGAAAACCCTTATTAAAATGTTCACACAGCACAGAGTTGTGCGTGGAAGAAAGACAAGTATTTTGCAGAAAAGAGAAGGAATATGAAAGGGGTTATTAGAGAGGCAAGTTTATGCTGTTGGTAGTGAAGACTGTAAACATTTTCCTTTTAAATATTTATTTTCAAAAGTTTCTAACTTATACCTAAAAAAAACTCCTCCTGATTGAAACTTGACTTGATGTCTGTCTCCATAATAAGCATATCAGAAAGCAATTTTGCATCTGCTTTACAACTGGACACAGAGTAAAAAAAGAGGTTGAAAGGCTACACTGCACCATTGTATCTAAAATAATTTTATTTTCAAGAGTAACTTTTTACAGTCATTAAGATATGCTCTGAAGTATTTCCACAAAATATCTCAGATCCGGCTGTTCTGCATGCTGCAGCAAGCAGAGACAATCTGAACTGTGGGGAGCATTCAAAAGTCTGAGATGCACAAAAGAACATACTTTATATATAAAGACATGCAGCCTGCCTGTGAGTTATCTGCTGTTTCACACATGACTGACCTGCCTGAAAACCAGCCCTGGTGGAAATGGCCATGAGTGATGTTATAGAACTGTGTTAACATTCATTTGTCACTCATCATTTACAGCTGCTGGTGCTGTGGAAGAGGAAACATCCAAAATCCATGATAGAGACTCACTAAAAGAAGCTACAACATAGCTCAGTAAACTACCTGAGCTTCAGGAGACACAGAATGAATAAATACAAACCAAATTATTTTTTTCCTGCTCAGTAATCAAGATGAGACATGCTAGATCAGAAATCATACAGCAGTCAGAACATCCAGCACTGTGTGTGAGGATAAGCACTCTACAGATATTCAACCTAATGCTCTTACAGAAGGACCAGGTTAAAATTCATTGATTACTTAACTCCTGCAAAAAAAATAACCCTTAGCTGCCAGTAAATTGAACAGATCATACAGCTCAATATTCTCCTATAAAAAGAATTATATCCATGGGAACAAGGGATATATAAAGCAAAATAACAAGTTTTAAATTGCACCAGCTGGTTGGTTCTGCATGACCCAATATACTGGCTTTTGACAAGGGATTCTTTTTAATCATGGTGACTCAGGTGCGGATCCCATCTGTTGATGTCAATTACAGCAGATCACCAAAAGTCTTTATTAGCTGTAAATTCAGTCTACCACTCACATTATCCTTATCACATAAAGGAAAATTGATATTAATTTAGTAATTGAAATTGCACACTCTGAATGCATTACTCTTAAAAGCTGAAGTAAAATATTTTTTGTTTTTTAGTTGAGAAAGCCTCCATTAAAAAATTATTTTAAAAAACATTTCCACCCCTAATTCAAAGTAGCAGCAGGATACTATGAATGCCAAGGTGGAAAGCTACCAGTCTGCATGTCAGACTCTGGTTAGTATGGAAGACAGTAACACTTCAATAAACAGGTGATTAGGCAACTCCCAGCTCTGTTAAAAGCAGATTGGTACTCTATTACAAACTGATTAAATTTGCCACTTCTTCACTTCAAACAATTATATTTGCTCATTAACACTTGATATGTTGAATGCAGCTTAAGAACATAGGAAAATTAAATATCAATCATTCTAACTCCTCAGAGATTTAGAACTGACTCACATAATGATATTTTCCTTCAAAGAACAATAGGCATGTGCACCTGTGAAAGCTGCTGTGGAGGAGAAAAAGGAGAATGGAAAAAGTTATTTAAAGACTGATGAAAAGTAGGAATCAAGGGAATTAAACATGCAGCTTAACTGTTGTGCTGCCCTGATGTGTTGGTACATACCTAATCAAAGTGTGTTCTAAAACGGAGCATGAACATCACTGGGCACAGGGCAAGCTGCGGCACATGACATGATTCTTAGTAAGGCTGACATAGAATAGAATCATAGAATATCCTGGGACCCACAAGGATATCAAGTCCAACTCCTGGCCCTGCATACACCAGTCCAAGAATCCCACCATGCACCTGAAAGGACTGCCCAAATGCTTCTTGAATTCTGGCAAGCTTGGTGCTGTGACCACTAGAACATATGGAGGCATAGTCTGATGTGAAACAAATGTGTTTCTTTCACAGTTAATATAATATAGAGTCCTAAAGAAGTTCTGGAGATTATTCCCAGTTACTTTACCACCTTTGCAAAAGATGGAGACTACATTTTACTGGAAGTGTGCTTTGTCAGGAAGCTGGGATACTGGAGAGTAACGCTAACTAGTCTTTAAGAAACTGCATCTATCAGGATGTTGCAGAGAACCATAAAAAACAGAAGAGTATTTTTAACCCTATTCTGATGATAGGAAAGCTGAGATAGAGGAAGAAAAAGAAAGCTGCTCGTGATTCTTCATCAGGCCACAGACAGAACCAGATAGAATACACAAACTTTGGAGATCAGTGTTCTTCATTCCTACAAACTAGAGGTATGAACCTACTTTCCAACTGGCCCTAAAAAGTAAAATGTTAAAGATGTAAACCACAAAAAACATCACAGCCAGATAATTCTGAGCTTGTTGTAAATTGTATGCTTACTTTTAAATTAATTTTATATTCTTCAGAGAATCTGTTTCCTATTCACTACACCATTGGAGGGAGGGGTTAGGCATCCCCATGTGCACTTAGCTGCAGATACACAGAAGACATTGATGTGACCCACCCCAAAACTGATAGCTGCAACAGTCATGTATCTTTTACATCTTGGAAGAACATTAGTTTCTACTGTTATTCTCCTTCTTGACTAAGTACTTCTTGACACCATACAAGGAAAAAAACATGGCAAAGAAACTGTTGGGACTTGCTGGTGGATCTGGAAAACAGACCTTCAGCACATTATTCATACGTAAGTATGTACTTGGTTTTAGGACCTGAAAGTACAAAACTTTAAGCTTGGTATTTCCTATTCAAGTATTATGATGATTGTGATAAAAATTATGATAAATTATAATAAACATTGTGATAAAAGAGTACTTAAACTTGCTTTAGATGGGGGCCTATGAGAAATATATCTGGCAGATCTTCTGGTGTACTTCCTGATGAAAACTTATTGAAAACTACAAGTTAAAGGCCCACTGTTTATCTTTTTATTTTAGGTTTCAACTAAAAGTGAAAAACACCACTAGGTAAATGTTAAATTGAACAAACAATTTCTTTTTTTAAGAGGAGGGTGGAAAAGTCCAAAAGGAATAAATCAAATTCTGCATTTTTGTTCCTGTCTTCCCATCTGGCTGAAAACAATGACACTGGGTTGTCTGTAGAGACTGTGGACTAAGAAACATGGTGGATGGGTAGCAGAAGTGGAAGAGGAAGCACATTTACATGGCTCAGATTCTAAGACCACCAATTCTGAAAGTATGAAACTCTGGTCTAAAAATGTAATGTTGATGCTAGTGAAGTGGTTCTGGAAATAACATCTGTGTCCTGCCCCACTGTCATCTGACATGAAGCAGCACCACATTTGACACTGTGGAGAGCTGAGGTACAGCAAGGTAGAGATACAAAACCTCCCACAGGTTGAAGTGGGGACTGGAGGCAGCAGACTCTGGGGCATTTAAGAAACAACTTAAATCACAGCAAAATGCCTTATTTGACATGGTCAGCATTTTATTTGCTTTGATAAAAAAACATTAAAAGTATGTGACATCTAAATCCAACGCATGTTAAGACTATTCTAAGCTCAGTACTCCAGCTGAGTCCCTTAAAAGGTTGAAATAACATCTGTGGATGGAGCTCAGCTTTTTCAGCTTTCAAATGCAGGAAGCTCTGTCAGAGTCTACCTATTACAAAAAAGATTCCCTCCAAGCAGTGGAGGAGAAATCAAATTTTTACACATGCTATCCAAGCATTGGCAGGAGATTGGCATATTGTTCAATATTGTGACTTAAGTAGTCACAGAAGACTCATTCTTTCCATTTGTTCCAGCTCTGAACTTGACCAAAATAATAAATAAGGACTGCATCAGAACGCACAAATTATGTCTTTGAAGACAAGTACAAATTGAAAATTAATTTGTGTGTTGATAAAAGAATAGGCTCTTTTTCCTGAGCAAGCTTCTAAATGATGGCCTGTAAAACTGTCTCTTTAGAACCCTATGCTGAATCCTCCTGCCTGTGCCTAAGTGTCTTTTGGTCCTCTACCAAAACTTGCTAGCTGAAGAGTTCTGTATTTTAAGGACCTGGAACCCAGTTATCACTGAACAGTTAAGAGAACATGCATTTTCATGACACTGCTGCGAAAAGCTACAAAACATTTCTACCATGACTCATTTCTTTTTTCATGAGTAACATAATGCTGAGTAACTTCTTTGAAAAAGGATGCATTTTTCTTTTTTACTTAAAACCAATTTTAACACAAATGTAAAGGACAGCTTACTTGAAATACCTTGGAATTCAGTAATAATTCAGTTTCCTCACTTCTACCTAAGTGATTGAGCCAACTCTACCCTGGATATTGACTGTGGCAATAATGCATGTTAGAGAGAATAAACTGCAATCCAAGTACCAAAACCTTTTAGCCTCACATAACTGGAAGGAAAGGGTGATAAACTTACCTTGTGTAGCAATGTAGTGATTTGGTCTATGATAACCCTAGAGTAAATTGAAAGGAAAAAAAAATCAGCAATTTGCACCTTGGCTATGTTCCTATGAGTGAAACTTCATTTAGGATAGTATTCAGTAAATGTCACAACAGTACAAATAATGCATTAGATGCCAAAGTTCTTTTCAGCTGGGGAGGGGTAAGTGAGAAGGGAAACAAAAGCAAGTGTGTTTTCTGTAAAATACTTAAGTTGCAGCCTTTACATTAGGGGCCAGAAATAATATGTTCCTTCAGTCCCTTGTTGGCTCTGCTGAAAATGAACAGCATGAAATCCTCTCTAGCTCTTGCAGTAAATGGCATAAGGTACTCATGGAGTCTGAGATATACCTTCACCTATTGCTGTTGACTGCAAAACCTATCCCTTTTTTAACAGCTAAAAAAAGTCAGCCTGGGGAAGTCAGGAGGCCCATGGTGATTTGTTTATGTTTTATTTCGCAACAGTAAAAAGGAGGGTAAGTTCTTTGATTAAATCATTTGGTATGATCACACTTTTTCAAGAAGAACATAATACAACTCTGATGACAAGAGCGGCTTAATCACAAGTTGGCCCAGCAATAAAAACCAATACTCTATGCATTCTTTGCAACATGGAACAGGTTGCCAAAATGTAATCACAGAATTTTTATAGTATTTGAATTTCTGATGTGATGGGAGTGTCACCAAATGTTCAGATCATGCACCAGTATGCTGATCAATCCAGTTGTAGGAATCTTAATATTTGAATAATGGTTATGATGCATTGTCAGTGATCAGCAGGAAGAACTTAAGGCTGTAGCATGTATGCCGTTGCAATTTCTTTGTGAAAGAGCAAGGGGAAATGCAGTGATATGAGGTGGGAAAGAATCAAAACAACTGAAGATACTTTGAATATTACAGAAAGAATAACATGAATTACAGAATTGTTTTCTTTATATGACATTGAAGCAAAATTTGGAAGTCTCTGAACTGAGAAGTGTTCAGGGAGCTCCAGAGTGGGCTTTTTTTTCCTGCTATTGGTTACCTAATCCTTACTGCCTTAGTGGGATCAAGCACTTCCATTTCCCAGTGAAAAAAAGTACAGGAAGAAATACATCATAACCATTGTGTCTATGATTATGTCATTCCCTTATTAACATGTTATACTGACAGCATGACAACTCTAGTAATAACTGCATGCAAGAGCAAAATTAAAGCTGTTTCTGTAGTAGAAAAAACAGTGTTTCCAACAGAAATCTGACTAGCAAAATAATAAACAAACATGCTGTGTTTTGTAGCAGAGTTGTCTTTGGAGGATGCCTGCAATCCTCCAGCCTTTGCAATGAAGCCATCTGATGATGATGAGGAGAAGACTTTTTTTGTTCTCAGGCATTGTTTCTTCTAGGGCCACATTCTCTCCATCCTTTTGTACTCCATGAAGTACATAAAGTCCATAAAGTACTACATAAAGTAACTTTTTTGCAAAAGCAAAAAAAGGTTTCTGTGCAGATATCTATCAGCATTTTATATGAGACTGTATGATCTGAATCTTTATTTCTCATATCTCATAATATTTTAGAATAAGATCCAAATGTGATACAAGAACATACTGCTAGCCTAAAATGAGAACAATCCTGAACATTGGAGTAAATGTGAAAGTGAATTCAAATCTAAGTCCCAGTGTGAACTCACCTTTCATAATAGATTATTACCTTGAGAGATTAGTGTGGTGTCTAACTAAATATATTTGTGTATGTGCCTTCACTGCTTGGTGACTGTGCTATTCTTTCAAACAGCAAGGGACTAAGCAGAAATCTGAGGTTAGTTTAATGATCCTTGAATATTCTTATAAACATCAGTAAGAAGAGATATCTTCAGAAAGTTCCCTCAGACTCCATATTATTGCAACTTGTACAGCTTGAAGTACTTGTACAGCTTTAGTTCCTCCACATTCTGAGAAAAAACATCTCTTACATTCCTGTTTCATACTAGTAATTAAATTTGAACTGCAAAATCTGACACCGTTTTTCAAAGACGTAACGACTGAACAAGGAATCTTTAGCAGGCACAGTTTCCTATGAAGTAATACTTGTTTTACTTAGCCTAACATCCAGCACTCCATGTGAACAGCAAACCTACTAACTTTGCTATCCACAGACTTCTGGCTTTAGATAAATAATATTGGCTTTTTAATGATTTTCAATTCTACTTTTGAGCTCATTCTTTCAACCAAAAACACCTTGTCTCTTAAAGAATTTATTCTAATGTAAAACATTAAGTTAACATGATGCAGAATGAACAAAGAAGCCACTTTCAATAATTAAACAGCCTACATATTTAATGAAATGTCTTGCTTGCATTAGAAATACTGGTTAACAGCTGCAGAATATACTTTGAAGGCGACTTAAAAGTGCAGAGATGACAAGAGACTGCAAATCTCTGCATTAGGCATTACGGAGTTTTGTCACATTAATATGCAAACAGCTTTCTTTTAAATGTGGAATGATGCCAAGCTGTTGACAGAAAGTGAAAATAACATTTTGCTAGCCCATATAAGCACCAGCAGGAAAAGTAGCCATACAGTGTTCCTGGCAAGGTTTCAGTCTAGTGGCAGTTGGAGGAAATGTCTCATTTAATTTACTGATTGACAAACCTTTGAGGCTTTTTTCTTCCTTTAGTGAACACCTAGCTTCCAAAGATAGCACTCTCCAGTGCTAAACAATGTTAGCAGCTGTTATTAGTTGTGGTATCTACTACAAATCATGAATAATGTGAAAATAATAAGAGCTCCCTCTTTGACTGAGAATAGCATTAAGCTCGTTGACTACATCAGGATACGCACATCGATATAATTCCCATTGATGTAATCGGAACTTGTTTCTCCTTCAATAGGCTGCAATCTCACTCGAGAATGATCATCTGAAAAGGGAACAATGGAGAGGAAAAAAAAGTAATTAAAAACATATTCAGTAACACAGGCTTAATCAAAATATTCCTTTATAGCCAAACAAAAACCTTAGCAATTACAAGTTCATGCTTATTTTGTTGGACATGAAAACTGTATCTATATTTAATTCTCATTTCAGTCATTCACAGGCTTTCCAAATCCACTCTGTTTTTCAGTATAAATTCCTTAAATCTTATAATGTGAAACCCATTACCTTTATGATTTTTGCCTTGACTGCCACTGCTCTTGTCAATAAAATAACATTAAGTTGTCAAAAATGCTTATTCATTTGGAAATGCTTCTGCCAGTACTCAGAAGAAGCTGAAGCCATTCAAGACATACTGTCACCTCAGAGTTTTTGGAGGAAGCTCATTATCCTTTTAGTAAGAGAAAAAGCAAAACAAAGTAATGGCAAAACCCAAGCAGTAAGACAATGGCTTTGCCACTGAATTTTGCTCCACTGTGGTCATCTGTATCTGTTCAAGCACTGTGAAAGCACTTCCAACTCCATTTTCTAAATTCCAATCCAAAACACTGTGGCGTGAATTCATCTCATGACAGCTGCCTCTTCTTCTCTATGATACAGCAACACTGCTAGAGGCTAGTTCCCACCCTGCACAAGAATATCTGTAGGCTGACAGGGCTCCTTCTCCTCGGAGACTTTGTAAGCTCCTCTTGACTCTCTTAGTTCAAAAGCAACTACAAACAATGTTCTTTTCAGAATGCTGCACAAGTTGTAGACAAAACAATTTGAGGGTAGGATCTCAAGGATGGAGAGATGGTAAGCAGACACTTTACTGCTGCTCTGTTTATGAGGTACTCTTGCTAATTAGGTACCTATGTATTATTGTTTTGCTGCCTGCCTGCTGAGCTAGTATTACTTGCAGCTGATGACAGACCTTCATGACAGTCATTATTTGGTTGTAAATGTAAATAATCATTAAAACACCCCAAATTTGCCACCCATGCTCTGAACAGCTATTTCTGAAGCTTTAAAATTCCTAAAAGATTAATAAATGAAAGAATATGAAACAGCTTAAAAACCTAACTTCATTATAAGTAGCATAATTTTGGCCTACATTACGGTGGAGGAGGAACAGGGCAAGTGCTTCTTAAAATAGCATTGTTTTAGAATGACAAGTCAAGAGAGAAACTGGTCAAGGTAAATTCTTTATCTCTTCCTCTTATGCTCCAAGTCTTAGGAAATAGAAATTTTAGAGCCTCATTTATTTCCTCAGGATTCCCTTGGGAGAGAGAAAGGGCATGCTACAACCCCAAACATAGTACATCAGAATGAATTAGAATTCCATCTTCAGGTTCCACAGGCCTTACATTGCTGTTTTCTTGGAATAATTTCACTCAACAGTCATCAAGAATGAGGTTTTCAAACATGCTTGAATATTTGAATCAGTTATGTTAATCAGGTCAGCCTTTTCAGCCTCTTTACTCACTTTTCCAAGAATAAAAATTTATAGAGCTGTGACTTTCCATATGTAACCCCTGCTTGTCTGACTCTACCAAGCTATGCTTATCCAAGTGCTTTGCTATTCTATGCTTAATTAAGCTATTTATCGGTTTCTTCAGAACAGACGTTCGGCTCACAGGACCTTAATATTAAAAATCCATCTCACTCAAGAAAGATACTAAGGAACTTTCTCAGCTCCAGCCATGGCTGCTGCTTTTACTGTTTTGGGACCTGATTTAACTTCTGCTAAAGTCAGCAGACTCAGAAGTCAAGCTTGCTTGGACTCATGGCATATCTTCATCCATATTTTTATGATTTCCCACATCATTGCCTCATAGGCATTCTCATCAGGAAAACTCAGGCTAGTAAAGATCTACACTTTTGCATTCCTTGAATTAGAGAGGGCAGGGTTCAGTTGTCTAAGCACAAAACATCTCATGGCACTTTATGTAGCAAGCAGGATATACTGCCTAGCTTTCAGCTGCCACTCTGGAATAACACGTCTCTCTTACGTACTGTGCCACATTTATTGGCCTTGCACGGATGTCCCAGGTCACCTGAAATGGCACCATGTGTCTATATTTAGGTAACTGAAGCCCTGTTTGATCACTGGACTAGAAATGAGTCCCATATTGGACAAAATAAGCTTAGATTTCCCTCTAAGAAACATCTTTAAAATGTAACTTCCTGTTATTTGACTGATCTATGCAATTGAATAATATGCAGTATCTTTTCTTTACATTTCCATTATTTTGTTACTTCTCTTGCAGTAACTCTTGTTTTGGATTAAGCAAAATAAATAAGTTACTTCATATCTATATCTTCATATCATCTCTTTCCCTTTTTTCTTCTGTGAATCTTTTTTAGCACTGCATTCTCAGCTAAGTTTCTGGGAATTCTGGGGGTAATGAACTGTCCAATACCCATTTATTTGCAGTGGAACTGGAGTGACTCCCTTTTTTATTGCTTTGAGAACTTAAGTTAACTCCTTACTGCATGGCAACACTTGTTAAATTGAAAAAAATACTTATGTCAACACAAAGAAATGTTACTGTGTCTGGGCTGTGCTTATGCCAAGCAGATTTAAAACTAAGAGGTACACAAGCCATATTCTTCAACACATGTGTTGATTCTTAAATAGTCTCTAGGTTAACTGTCTATATTTTTAAGGTATTTTTTTCCTTTATACTTCAGTTTCTCTTGACAATTTCTGTTGCTTTAAAATACTCTTTTTTCCATCTCATTGTTATTTTGATACCCTTCCATTAAGAGATCTAATTTAACTTTCCACTGATTACTTAAGCTTTTAAAATTGTTTATCTTAGAATAAATTTGCCTTTGTAGAATATGGTAGTAGATAATGAATGTAAGCATTTTATTCTCTCTCACCTCGTGTTACCTAGAACATGTATATGCCAGCCTGCAGACTGTGATCTTTAACAAGCCCCTTGAGCACCTGGTTGATTAGCATGCCTAGCCAATGACCCTTTCTTGGGATGTGCACTCCCAATTCTCTGCAAATCAAACCTTTTATAAATGTCTCACCTAAAATCTTTAGCTGCTTTTAAAAGCTGTGATCAATACTCTCTTCTTGTTTAGTCAATATTGAGTTAGGTAAAAATAAATACAGAACCCCTCCCATTCCCTCAAGATCTTTCATGAGGAAAAATGAATAAATTTTACCAAAATCCATGCCTAACCCCACAGTTATGTCAGAAACATAAATTTTCTTAGTTGATGAAAGATTCATTTAGCAGGTTCATGCTGGGTTTAGTTTGTAATGAGAAACCATGAAGGTTTTTTTGTTCAGTAAAGAAAGAACACGTTTTCTGTTGGTACTGGACTGTGATCATGATTCAACTTTTTGTAGCCACTGTCATACACTGGGTAGGGCACACTTGTAGCCAATTAAATGCACATCACTTGGATAACATAAAGCATATTGCAATTTTGACAAGCTCCTGCAATGCTAGATGCTTGGTGCTATTGTTTTAGTTCCCTACAAGAACAATAATGACTATGAGCAATATTATAACAGTAGTATCCTGGGAAAAATTAAAACAAAGAGGGTAAATGGATGGAAAAAAAATATGTTTTGCAGAAAAATATACATTTCATTATAATCATGTACCCATAGTCAGTGGCATCTGTGCCACTGTATTTTAAAGTGTCTGAACATAGCATAAAGGGCAATTTATTAAAGTGCTTTTAAGCTAAAGCATATACTTTATACAATTATCTAGGACAAATTTTCAAAAGTAGACCATTCAAGCTGTACCCTCAGACTCTGAGAAATGCAATCATTTATCCAGGAGAAAAACACATAAAATAATTAAAAAGTTAACTACCCTATCTGCACACATGTACTTAACAACAACAAACAACAAATAGAACGATAGTTCTTGTGGGCAGTTTCAGCTTTTAAGATACTGTCTTTAATTCTAGTAGATCTTAATTTTAACTTGAGTTGTCTTCATTTTCACAGCCACATAAACAGGAAGTGTTATTGATAAAAACTCCATCCAGCTCTCTCCCTCTGCTAAATACTGAGGACATTTCAAGTAAATTGAGCTCTAAATGTCCTGAGTTATACTTGGTCTCTTAGAAAGCCTTCAGCATCACTTGTAATTGTCATTGATTTGTGTATCTAATATCTTTTATGTGTTCTCCCTTGGCTATTCATCACTTGATTACCTCAAACATAAAGCACTAGCAGTTTTCTGGTTTTCTTCAACCAAAGGGTGTCGAAGTGTAAGACAATGTCCAACATGACATGATAAGAGGGGAGTGACACACTAAACCTGGCTACAAGAGAAGGCCTATTGTAATAGGTTTGGACTGGAAAAAAAATTCACAAAGCAAGGATAAGCACAAAACTGCTTTGTATTTCTTATTTTTGATTTTGATATTTTTACTCAAATTATTAGCTGTTAATCATATAATGTATTGCTACATCCTCACAAAATAACAAGTTTGTTCCACATTAAATATTGCTTGGAGGGAAACAAGCAAAACCGTATCTAGCTAACTTATCTGCTTTTGCATATGTGCCAGCCCATCACAATAATCACATTTCTCTAGAAGATTTAATTTCCTTTTTCAGTATATAGCATTGTGTACATCAAAATACATAGCAATACTATTGTGTCCACTCAAAACCATGTGGCAAATCATTTCTCTTGCTTAATTTGCCTTTGCCTCAATGTGTATTTCCTGTGGGCTCTCATTCTGCAGCAAACTACAGAGCTGTTTTCTCCTTGCGGACAGTCTCTGCCCAGCTGGGCCCTATTCTCATCGCCTACTGTAGGTCACTAAGTTGGGAGCTGTTCTCTCCAGACCCATTACACATGCTCTGCAGAGAGGACCTCCTGAGGTGGTGATTCAGAAGCATTCAAATGGGTTCTATTTCAGAACCATTTCTCAAGAAGACCTGTCCTTCTCTCTCTCAAGTCCATGCGGTCCACTGATGAGGAAACCGAGGCAGGTATGTGCCTGGACATGCACTTGGGATAGGTGCTGAAGTCAGTGCAAATATGCACTACACACTCCTTCCACAGGTCCTCCAAATGTTCAGTCAGCATGGCTTATTTTTCTCTGCCGCCCCACGTACCTTCATTTTCATGCTTACAAATCAAGGTGACGGCTGCTTATTTCTCTGCTTATACCTGCTCATGGTTATCTAGCTGGCTGTTAAAAACACATGCACTCCACATCTTAAATTCAGATTTTAAAGTGAAAAAACAGGGAAGGGATCATCTCCTACATACACACTGAATCATCTCCTCAAGTTATTTGATTATTAGTATGTCTAATCCTCATTAAGCCTAGCATGTTTAAGTAAAACATTAAGGGTTACCTTTTTTCCTTAGAGACTGTCTAGCATAAGGCAGAATAGTTGACTCTGTTATTGTGGAACACTCAAGCACCAGTATTGTCTGCTCCTAAAATATCCAGACTCTAATACCAAGGTGATGATGTGGTCATGGGTAGTCTTGTGCTAAGCTGACAGGAGCAGTCTGGGACCTGTTAGAGCTGAGTACTGGTTAAAGGTGTCATTCTCTATTAGCCAAATGCTGATCACAGGGTGGAAGGTATACAGAAGGGCAGTGGAGAAAATGCATTAAATTTGACAGTTTTCTCAAAGAAAAAAAAAGTAACGTTTTCCCTCATTTTTATCTTCTTAATCAGGGAAAAGGAACATAAGTCTGATGTGAGCACAAGGCTGGTGGTCATTCTTATCCAGATCTGAAGGGAAGTTAACAAAGTGCACAATTATGTTGTCAACACTCACATGCAATGATATTCCCATATCTATTTTTCATTCTGTTCTCATCTTTCTTAGCTGAATCCCATGGTGCAGACTGTCCTTCAAAGAAACTCTAAAAAAAGGAGAGACAGTGACATTAAGAAAAGCATGCAGCAACAGTTACCTTATGGCTAAATGAAAGAGAAAGGCAAACAGTCCTTGTGGGCTTTGTTGTTAAAGTGGCATTTAACCGATTCATTTACTGAGCAAAAATACGAGTCTCCTGTTTAAATGTTATCTATGCATAGCTCCAGATGTTACTTAAAATTTGACATGAGATTATCTGTGTAATAGCAAGAAGAATTATTTGCAAGTGAAGTGCTATTAAACCTTTCCAAATCTGCGTTCTTGCAACACTGAGAGTCCTTCACTTGTGCTATCCAGATTCCCTGTATAGTTCTGATATACACACGTGAAGCTGAAGGAGCTTCATCATCAGTGTTGGAGGTACTCCAGTATTTGAGTGCAGAAATTACAGACTGTACTGATATGTTTTATTTTTGACATACCCAAGTTTCATTTACTTGTTGGCAGATGACCTCATAGATCAAAACATATACAGGCATTTAAAAAAACATGGATTCAACTAGCACAATTGTGCCTTTTTTTTCTCTTAAGGACAATTTATGACACCACTATGATGATTCTTTTCTCAGAGAATAAAATCAGTGTGATTTTGTTAAAGATATAATCTCATTTTTACCGAACAGCTGTCCTTTAGCTAATAAATCTCACGTAAACAAGAAAGTTGAAGGTGCTAAAAGTTTATTTTTATATTAATAAAACACAGAAGCTGCCAAAAGGGCAGCAAGCAAGTTGTTATGCCCTATTAGTTCTGAGCTTTCTGTGGTGCAAAAGAGCATTAGCACAACCTCTTTATTTATGCATTTTATCCATATCATGCAGATGCGTTTTAAAAGTCTGTATTGAAATATTAATCTTGTGTTAAAAAATACTTAGTTACCAAGCAAACTACTGGAATTCTATCATGATTATGGCCAGTCTTAACTCATGTTTTCATCTTTTTACTAGAATGATCAGTAGATTAAATCTTCTGTATCACACTAGAGAAAACACTGGTAAGTTTGTATCTTTTGCAATCTCTCAACACAGTGAGTGGTTTAAAACACATAATATCCATAAAATTGTCTAGTGTTACTGTCTTTTACCCTCAAATTTTAGAAAAGTTGTTTTTCAAATCCCAATGATTTCCAGTAGCAAAGAGCATAAAAGTCAAACCAAATCCTTGATCTCTTGCTGAAGTCAAAGGAAGACAAGGACATGCAGTGTCTAAATTGGGTATTCTTTTCACAAGTTTACTAGTGCTGGTTTTCAACTTATGATCTAGAAATTCCTGAAAATATATGGACTATTTCTAAAATGTTTGTAAGTAGTAACTCAAGAAAAACAGAAGCCTGTCAGTGGCTTCAATTTGTTTTTCCTTCATCTCTCCATACTTCCTTAGAAAATTTTTAATGGTTTGGACAGTGAAATTATTAAAACCCACTAATACAAATGAATTTCTCCTTAATCAAAACATACCCATGTCATTGTGTACAGCTCTGAGAAACACTCATTGCTACCAGGATAGAGAAGTGCAACCCTGTGAATCCTGAAATGATTTATAGCTTTGGGGCTCTTTGCCAAAGCAGCATCAAACGTTATCTGATTATACATATGCCAACGGCATCTAAAGCAAGCATGCCCTCCCACTCTAGAGAACTCTCAGCTCAGGCTGGATGGAAATGACTTTTCTAGTAAGTCTGACCAAACTGCAGACTTCGTAAGGAATGACTCTCGATGGACAAAGATCTATGTCTCAATTTCTTGCAAATTTCACACTCTTGGACAACACTGAACAATTAAACATAGTTAAAGGCAAAGTAGAGATGGAAATGGTCAGCAGCAAAGCTGCAAAGACGAAACAAACTAACAATTCATCTGATCTAAAATCTGATGTGGATTGTGCATTTCATACAGCTAAACAGACTACTGAAAATTCTAGTTTTCTTCTCCTAGAGACTAATGCACAGAATTGATCCATGAGACACCAGCCAGCAAGTGGTTTTGAGTTCAATTCAGTAAGCATTACATGTGGTATTACAGAAAAAGAGTCCTGCTGACACAGCTTCTGAGCCTACACCTTGAAATACGGAAGACCCAAACATTCTCCAAGGGGCATCTTGCTTCTCTCTGTCCCACTAATGAACTTTCACAGAATTGCTTTGAAACAATCAAATGAAGTAAAGCTCTGGAGGAAACTGGGAAAGATTTAGATGGTGCTGAATTCTGGGAAGAAATACAATAGGCAATGTACTGCTTTCAGAAACTCGTCTGGGTCTCATCTGCAATGTACAAGTTCTATTTTTCCCAAGTGTTTGGAACTTCTGAAAACAATGATAAGTTTAATGAGTCTTACAGATAAACCATCTCCTAACAATTTATCTCCAACATAGATAATTCTGTTCTTTAGAACAGATATGTATCAAACCTCACACAACAGCAAAAACCAGGAAACAGATTTACATTTCCAGCTACTGCTTTCTGACTTTACTTTCTTTATTAAAAATGTATTACAGAAAAAGAACTTCAGATATTTATTTTTCTTTGAGTTTTTATCAATAAATTAGTGAACGAAATAAAGCATATCACACAGGGAAAATAAGACATAATTTATGTATATCCATTTTTCTTTTTAATTCATTTTGGGATACACACTGGTATTACAGTGAGAAGAGCATGGGAAAGATAATTTCAAGGAAGAGCTATTACAGTGCAAAAGCATAAAAAAACCCAGTTATTGTAAAAGACAGCTGGAGTGTCATTTCCTAAATTCCCCGTGTGCTACCATTACACGAACTCCAACAGAATGATAATCCACACTGTATTATAAGGAGAAATCTCATTTGTCCCACAAGTAAAGAACAGAGAAGATATTTCATAACAGATGATCTGTCAAGATCTTTCCTTACTTGTGAGAAATACACGTTTCATTACAGAAATTTTTTAAATCTCTTCCCTGACATATCACTCTCCAGGGACGCTGCTCCACAGCAGCCCACACATTATCTTTGTGGCTATTCATTCTAATTCATCCTTAGAAGTTTCTTAAAACTGTGGACCATTAGGAAGAAATATGGCCCACAAACAGCTTCACTCTGCCAAATGCTTGGCAAGGGCAATGGAGAACCAAAAACGAGTATAGGACATTTCTCAAATAATTTAAAATAAGTATTTCTTCAACTCAAAATCACCCAGAACTCTGGCTACCCAGCCTCCATGATCTTCTTGAAAAATGAAATGCTCTTCAAGCCAGCTGTTGTTACAGCAGACATTTCAGTATGCATGTCATCTGCCATTCTATTAGTAGAAAATATTACAATAATTATGATGAAACACTTTCTGAAGAAAAATTAATTACAGAGAGCTGCTTTATATGCAACATGAAAACTGGACAGTGATGCAGCAGGAGGATCATCTTAGGATGAATGTGATACTTTTGTGTGCTTTAACTCAATACTGAAGTGGTTCCCATTAAAAACTAAATATTTGCCAAGGGCTAATTCACTGTGACCCTCAGACTAGAAAATAACTGCAGTATCTCAAATGAGAGGAGGAGCTAATCATTGCAAACAGAAAAATCTATTTGCAGTGATTAGCTCCCCTTCTCATTTTGTGAAAGAAAGAATTTTTTACATTATTCCCTTTCCTAATTTAAAATTCGTAAGGCAAAAAATATTGGAAAGGACCTACATAAAAGTGCAGTTTGAAGAGGTTGAATGTGAAGAATAGGGTGAGATCTTTAGAATAAAATTTGTATATCTGCTGTCATCTTTCCCAACACATTTTCTATCTTAGATTTCATGCTTCTAGATAGGAATACTACAAAAAAAAATACATCTTTGTAAGTGCTTTAAGGTCTACAAATGTAAAGTGTGGAATTACTGTTTTTATTATTAGTCAAAAACCAAGCAGCAACTTTTCCAAAACATACTTTGTAGTTGCTAGGAGACAACTGTGTAGTCTCTTACAATGTCATTTACAAAATGCAAGCTCTTACAAGCAAAGAAACAAGAAGTTAAGGCCATCATAAATCTCTCTGCCTACTTAATAAGCAAGAATATTACCTGTAGGTTCAAAGAAATGCTACTGCACTGTGTAACAGTCTTAAGTTTGACCTGTGGATTTGTTTTTAAATGTATTGGTCTTTATGTTATCTGATTTTCTCTACTGACTCTGAGTTTCTTCACTGGTAACATTCACTTTCCATTGCTATTTCTAAATGACCAGATTACAATGTATTTTAACTACACTGGTAATTTGACCTATCCAGTTATAGGTACCTCTTGATTTGTTTTTAAGTTACATGCAGAGAATTACCCACACTGTCTACTTTAAGCTGGCCCAGACAAATAACAATGATCCTAATGGAGGTCCTTATCTAAACTCAATTAGCTGGAGAATAATCTTAAATTTCTACTATAGAGCCCTTTGAGCTGCAGCTAAATTAGATGCCTAAAATGCCCTGAATTTGATAGTGAAGATTCATTACTAGTTTAACACTAATGCTGTGTCTATTTCATACATGAAGATTACAGATGGGAAAAATGCATCCATTGAAGTCTGAGTTAAGATCCTAGGGTCACATTAGACTCTTCATATTTACAAACCCTAGTAAATACACAGTTAAGCAAGTCCATAAAGGACAAGGATCTTCAGGCTCCTTTAATGAACACTGCAAGATTTGTGAGTGCAGTAAATCTGTAAGTTCGTTGGATTTTCAGTCTTCAGAATCTGCTAAATATCTGTGGTATGTGAGGATGTTCTTGTGACTTGACAACGTTTTTATTTTTTTTAAACAGAAAATTGAAATAATCACATTCCGTTTGTTGATAACTCAGTATTTAAACTACTAAGGAATTAAAAAGGGTCACTAAAAGTTACGTTAAATGAAATCTGTAGGAAGGCCCAAGCTATTAAACAACATTTTTAATCTTCTAGTCACTTTGAGGGAAGCTTTCATCATTGAAAATGCGTCACCTGTAGGTAATAGATCTCCCCAAGTGTTTGTGA